CATTTTTTTATGAAATCTTCATATATATATATATATATATATATATATAATTCAAAAATAAAAATATTATCGCTTTATAAAAAACACATAAAACCATATTATAACATCGACTGAGACAAAAAAAAAACGAAGTCTATCTATACTATATTATAAAGAATTTGACAAAAATTCTTAAAAACCATTTTTTATGCATTAAGTACTGTTTATTGATACATAGTACTTAAAATTCAAGATTACAAGTGGATTATGCATAAGTATAACTTATTAAAGCTCTATTTTTAAATTCGTATAATTAACTGCAGACAAACATAATAAAATACAGAATACACATCCATTTTAAATATAAAAATCAAAAATATAATTTATATAATCATTAAGTTCTAACAGAATGTTTAATTATTATCTTCATAAAAAATTATATTATTATTAAATCTAAACTAAATAGTTAATTTGATATTAACATCGATTTATTTATTCTCAAATTCATATTTCATTCAAAAATAAAAAATTATCGTTTTCTTAAAACCACATAAAATCACATTATATCAATAGAAACAAAGAATAAAAACTAAACATTAAAATCATGATTTATATCGCTGTATTACGCGAATAATACAGATATATATATATATATATATATAATAAAAGAAATGGGTGATTGGTGGAGTGGAGTGGGGTGGTCCACAACCACAACTTTGATTATTCAAAGCAGATCCTTTAATCCCTTTTTAATATCCAAAAGTGGGTCTGTCTTTTTACTAATCCCACTCTCACAATTACATTTACCACTCTCTTTAATTCTTTTAAATTAAATGGATGTGCTCTCATTATAATTACTGCAAATTCATCAACCAAAAACCCTATAAACATTAAAATGTTACTCTAATTTATCACTACAATATTATAAATTTGAAGGTCATCAACATATATATATATATATATATATAAATAATAACAAAATAATTTATATTTAGGTACAATAACGAAGTAACTTATATTTGGTTTAATAATATAATTTTCTTATACAGATAATAATTAATTATTTTATTAAAACTTGATAATTA